CAGCAGCCCCCGGGCCGGGCCGCGTGTCCGAGGGGGAGGCGCTGCTCGCCCCGCGCCCAACTTCCCTCAGGGCGGCCCCGCCGAGCCGCGCTGTGCGCCTCAAGGCCGCGCGCAGCCAGGAGCTGGAGGCAACCGCTGCCTTCAACAGGTCCCTGCAGCCGCGTCCCGCCGGGGCCGGGCTGGTATTAAACCCCCGGGCCTGCTGCGCGGGAGGGTCTGCCTGTGCGGCAGCCAGGGCCCAACTTCTCAGCCATCAAATCCGGCAGAGAAAAGCCGAGCACCAGGGAGAGCTTAAGTTAGATACGAGTGAAAACTCTCTTGCTAGGAGGGTGGTAAAGCACTGGCACCAGTTACCCAGAGAACTGGTGGAGCCTCCATCGCTGGAGGCTTTTAAGACCCAGCTCGACAAGGCCTTAGCTGGGATGAGATAGTTGGGGATGGTTCTGCTCTGCTCAGGGTTGGACTAAATGCCCCCATTTTCTGTGATCTGGGAAGCAATGCCTTCAACACCCTTTTAAAAACATAGCCCCAAAACAGTTGTTTGTGTGAGTTTCCTGGCATTTGGTCCACTAACCCAGGAAGAAACTGTGCATCACTGTATTGCGTTACAGTTGATGAAGACTGAGAACTCAGAGGGAGGAGAGCAGGCAGAGAACGCACTGTGCTCGGGACTGGAAGGCAGAGGGAACCAGTGTCTCTAAGCTGCTGGGTGCATGTGACCTCCTTTGCCAGCTGAGATTCGACATGTGGCCAGGGTCCCACACACATGAATCGAGGCCCCAGGTCTCACAGCACCTTTGTAAGGCTGGAGTTCTCCTTTAGGGCAGTCTCGTTCCTGTCAGTGAGTTTTGCTGAAGGCCGGTGCCGCAAGGTGACTTTAGAGCTTTGGAGCCCACATGCTGCTTCCATTTTCACTGGAGGCTGAGAAGGAGCACAATTGATTTCACATGCAATTTACACCACTCCCCAGGAGTGGCCAAACAGTGGCAGATAGCAGGTCAGGGAGGGGACAGGTAGCAGAAAACAGAACATCAGATTGGGCAGGAACCACAGGCCTCCAAGCAGAAAATCAAGCTGCAGATCGAGCTGGGGAAGGGGATAAGAGGGACATTTGAAGAGAGCAGAGGGCTAATTTGTGGCACGCCTGCCCAAAAGGTTGGTCAGAACTTTGTTGCATAGACTGGGCCTCAGGGCTTTTCTGTTTATATGGTTTTTAAACCAAGTTGTACTGGTGTAAAGAGATGTGCATCCACACAACGCCATTCCTGAGTGCACTATACTTAGGGAAGTGCTGTGCTGCTGTTACTTTTGTTGAAGCCTGCAGTATTCACCTCCAGTAAATCATAGCCTCCACCTGCCTCCCACTCTGCTTTATCCCCTAGCCCCACCAGCCACTCTGATTACCTTTGTGTCCTGTAGTGCCCTGGGGCCAGGGTGAATGGGTGTCACCTCCACATTTAAATGCGGGTGCACAAGTGGGTTCTGCTCCAGGAGTTAGACACCCAATATTTTGTTCTAACGTTGTACTTGGCCTCATCAGGCAGCAGGCATGGATCCTGAGGGGACTTACCTTCTGGGAAATATTTGGGAAGGGGAAGAGATGGCCTCAAGACATAGGAACACTGGCATTTTGGAGAGAATCAAAGGGGGGGATGGCCAGGTGGGATCCCAGGGACATCTTACAATGTAGTGTGAAAGCAAAGAATATAGAAAAGGGTTCCAAGAAGGTAAAAGAGAAAAAGAAAAAAACAGACTTTCAATAGCACCCCAGCCACCTGTCCTTATGACGAAGTGGATGGGATTTTGGCACAGGATCCCAGCAGTAATGTGCAATTTGTTTTGGAGGTGGACAATTCACAATCGTTGATGGAAAGAAGGCACTAATATTGCAAGGCAGGGCTGATTTCTCCCAGGTTCCTCAATAGGTGTCACATTCTTCCAGCCAGGACATCAGGAGGTCACTACTTACCTGACCACCAGAACTTCTAGTGACAGACAGCGGTTGCTACCACCAAACTACGTGCATGCCTAGGGGGTTCTGGTAGCTCCCCTCAGCAGCTGTCCCAGAGCACAAAGTGCTCCTGAAACAGGCACCAGCACTGTAGGGACCAGAACACATAGGAGGCCTGCACATGCTTTCTGCTGGACGTCAAGCAGCAGAAGAAGCCTTACTGCACTTTGCCCGATTTAGTTCTGCCAGCAGAAAGGAAGTTCTTCCCCCAGGGAAGCATTGTTTGTGGACTCAGAGTTTTGCTGGCACAGCTGGACATTGCTTGTCAAAACTGTGTAGTGGAAATTAGGCCTTAAACAGGTGGTTCTGTTTCTGCTTGGTCATGTCTCAGGGATGCGTTCCCCAATGCTGGGGCTGCCTGAAGAGCAACAAACCACCAGCAATCACCAGCCTGGTCTCATCCTACCTCCTCTACGATGCCCAGGAAGTGCTGTTCCTTATTGTCCTGCTCCATGGCCTCTGGCCCCAGGCTGGGTGTCAAACCTGAAGTGCCCTACAGCAGAACTTCGGAGCAGTGACCAGCCAGGCAGGCAACCACTGCTGTCCACCTCTGCAGGCTATAGAGGCCTGCCATACTGCAATTCCAAAACAAATGGATGGAAGAGGGAAACAGGTCATCCGGCCTCCAGTCTCCCAAGGCTGGGAAGTAGCTGTAGCACCTCAAAATTGTAGGGCAAGAAACATTTTATCCCTGCTACCACAGCAACTGAGCAGTTAACCAGAACCACTTGCTACTTTTCTCACCTTAGGGGTCTGCACCAGCCATGTGGGAATCCACACACGTCTGCTAACAACCACTCAGCCTCAAGGAAACTGGAGAGCAAGGTAAAAGAGAACAAAAGAGGCAGTCTCAAGTGACCTCACCAAAGCCCTGAAAAATGATGGAGGGCAACTCAGGAGTGGAGGGTGTTTCTTCAGGTTGAAAAGCAATGGAAATTCCTGAAGAGAGGGGCTTCTTGGCAGAGACAGGGCTTGCTGTGAGCAGGGGCCTGGTGGGAAATGGACCCTGATGTCAGAGTGGATCCAGGAGACGGCAGGAATGAAGCAAGAGGTGGTTGGAGGCACCTGATGGAGTTAGTGAGCACACGGACACGTGTGTTGGGAAGCAAGCTCACCACTATAGCTGCCA